CTTGTTTCTAAAATCTACGTTACAGTTCAGAAGGTAGGCGATTCTTCGCTCCCTGATTTGAACGAGATCGTTTGGTAAGCGAAGAAGATGAATTCTCTGTTGCAACGTTACCGAAACGATCGCCGCAAGCTCCTTGAGTTTCTTATGTCGTCGGGTTTGGTAAAAGAGCTTCGTTCACCTTCCGGTTCCACCACTTCTCTTGCTCCCGCTGATTTGGATGCTCTCAGTGCCGATTATGTTCTGGATTGCGTCAAATCCGGTGAGTTCACATTTCCGGAGAAATTTTGAAATTTATTTATAGCTATTTTTTTTTTCCGGTGAGGAAATAATCCATCCTTAGTTGCAAAATTGCTTAATGGAGTTTAGTTGCAAAATTGCTTAATGGAGTTTCCGCTTTTCTCATCTTCTTAGCTGTTTCTAATTGTATGGTGTGAAATGGAATATTTGATTTGTAAATTTCGTAGAGGATTATTAAGGGTTCTACGCATTTAGGGTAATGGGAAAAAGTTGGCTCTCTGCTTGGTAGTTGCGATTTTCCAAGCTAATCTTCTGCAACTATCCGAATTATCTAACTAATTTTTACCTGAAACTCTCGATTTTGTGAACACGAATGCAGGTGGTATAATTGATGTCTCTAGAGGCACTGAGAAATACAATTTTGAGTCCTCTTACCCCGTAACGGTAAGGAAATGTTCCTACAATGCTTCGTATATGTTGGTTTCTTTAATGCATAATTGAGCTACGAAAAAATTGCATTCTTAGTGGCATCTGCATATTTCATTGTTTTTTTTGCCTACTCGATTGGAATTACAATAAAATGTGTGATTAGTGTAATGTAGAGCTGTGACGATTGAAAGACGAACTTTTGCAATACTCCTCTCCTTGCAATTCATGTGTCTTAAGCTTTTGATATAAAAAGAACAATGCCATTGTTGTTAATAACCGTTGAAGATGATTACTTTTTGATGATTTGAGCTTGCAGATACAATCTGAATCTGGAGATTCCTATTTCCTTGTCTCGAGTCCAGATGTAGCAGGTTCTCCACCTCACCGTATGCCTCCCCAACCAGTTAACATGGAAAAATCCAGTAACAATGGCCTAGACATGTCATGCCACGATGATTCTTCTAGTACTCCTTCATCTAGAGATAACTATATATTTAAAGAGGAAACACCTGACATCAAACCCATGAAACCTATCAAAATAATTCCTCTCGGCTTGCCACCCTTGAGAACAGGTATTTAGTTTGGCATTTACTTTTTGAATTCTCTGTCCTAGTGTACTATCTGTTTCCTTGTAAATCTTGATTGATTTGGTTCCCATCTGTCGAGTGAACTGATACATGATGTTAGGAATTTTGAAGGGTTATCGGATGATGATTTGCGAGAAGCAGCATACGAATTAATGATTGCGTCTATGTTGCTTTCGAGGTACTCTCTCATTTTGTTTTTTTTTTTCGTCATACATGTATATTGTGTATTTGTTATGGTTCATACTTCCAGCTATTTTCTGGATAGATCTGTGTGGATTCTCTTGCTTCTGTACATTCTTACGGGCTTTTCATAAATAGTGTTGAGGCGCATCCTACTCAGAGAAGAAAAATCGAAAAAGGCTCAAAACTTTTGTTAAGTTTGAAGAGAAAGGAAAAGTCGCATCTACAGCCTCAGATCTCTAATGCACACTCAGAGGTTATCAACATGTTCCGTGTCCAGATGCAGGCAAGCAATAAAATCATTATCTATGATACGCCCTAAGGAACCAGTAGTTATCTAACGCTGTAGGAAAGTAGAAAGGTTGCAAGCATTTTGTTAAATAACCAAAAGAAGTAGCAGTTCCATATTTCAAAGTTCAAACTTACTTCAGCTGGATCATATGTGTTACTGTGCAGCATATTTTAATGACTGTTTGTTGCTGCTTTAATAGATTTCATCAAAGATGGATACATGCATACGAAGAAATCTGGTACAGTTGGCTCAATTAAGGACAGGTGAACAAATTGATCTTCCACTGTTAGCATTGGGGCTTTTGGTTGGAATATTCAAATCAGATTTTCCTAATGAAAAACTCTACATGAACTGGAAGACTAGACAGGTGAACTACATTTCTGTTTTTTCT